CCCTCCCCCAACGTTACCCGAGCCACATAATTATGGTGAATCATTATTCTAGCCTGTCTAGTAGGTCAAATAATCGTTATGTATGGGAAAGTCCAAAAGGATGTCCCACACCAAGGAAAATGTAATGATGGAAACATGAACATGAACTCGAAATTGAAAATACTGAATATATTTGAATTATATTTGTTATTCAATTGCCCTGCTTGGATTATTTTATTTTCAAAATAAACTACCGCAAAATATGTCTAGAATATTCACTTTAAATAATGATGTTCATAATTATAAAACTCGTGGGCGAGACTCTTTTCATTTTTGGCCAGTTAAGACAAATATATATTTGAAATCTGTAAGAAACAATTTTCCTGTTAATTGGAACTCTATTCCTCCTCAAACATCCTCATGCAAGTCTTTATCATTATTTAAAAGAAAATTGAAGCAGCATCCTATATCTAAATATCATTAATTCTTGTTCCCATATTCATATTGAACAGCATTACTTATAATTGTTTTCAAACCTATGATTTTGTAATGTTTATTTCCATTTGTATTACCTGCCTTGAACGATGTCCCTGTCATGTTTTGTCATGTATGTTTCTTTTTATTAGCTTTGTTTGTATATGTACATCTCTTAACTACTGTTCGGGGTACTATGCTTCCACAAGGCCATCTGGCCTCATTTTTTAGTTCCCTATTTTCATTTCCTTATTTATTGCAAATGCTTATCGTTGTATATATCTTTATATTTTTTTTTAAATGGAAAATGGAAATGAATAAAATGAATTGAATTGAATCGATATCAATAGAGGCGTTAATCAATTTTATATTTTGTCTGGTCTAAGGTCAAGTAGGGTGATCGGCTTGACATATTTTGGTGGATTACGTATGTCAAAAAAGGTAGAACTGGTTTAAGCATAGATCTCAACGTACCATACAAATTTGAAGAGCGCCATCTGAAACAAAACTTCGGCATAACTTGTTAGTAAGTCTGAGATGGTCTTCCGTGTAGCCTATCAAATTGTAACATTGATGATAATGTGACATGTTGAAAAGTGCTGATGATGATGTGAAATGTGAAACTGATGCTGATGGTGCTACTATATATGATGATATTGTTGATGATGATGATGCTGCTGCTGATAATGAAGGTGATGATGATGTTGACATCTTCCTACATTTAATGTGTATTTACAATATATTATTATCATCAGCAGCAGCATAATCTTCTTCATCCATAACAACTACAAACAACATCATCATCATCATCATTATTGCAATCTTCTTGTCATCACTACTACCAACACCGTCAACATCATCATCACGTCCATCGTATCGCCCTTGTTTTCACAAAGTGACGGTAGTGAGGAAAATCGTAACGCAAAGTGAATGCAATTTGTTTTCACTACCGTCACTTCGTGAAAACAGCGACTGTTACTGACAGGAAGTTTTCTCCTGTGTTTGATAAAATCATGTAACGATAGGTCGGGAAATGCTGACGTCATAGACGAGGCTTTTTGGGGAATTGACATGTATTTGACTATTGAGGGCGTTTCTTCGCATGCCACTGATTTTCCTTGTTTGGAACGGTCGGACGACCGTGAGGTTGTGATGATAAATTAATTCTTTTTGATGAGCCCAACGTTGTAAGTAGACAATTACATTGCTATTCCTTTAAAGAGTTGTTGAATGATAATTAGTGATAATTTCTATTAATTATGTTGATGGTTAGTGATGTAAATTTGTTGCGAAAGATTTGTATTGAAGTACGTAATGTAGCAGTGGTATACATAATACGTGCAAGTAATGCATGCATGCACTGTACACGTTTAGTGACCGGAAGTAGTCACGCCTCTTTTGTTAGTTGACAGATTATGAAGTGAGCCATGATAGATAAGGCTGTATGATAGCTGAAGCATATTATTTCTTACAAGGTTGATATAAATGTTCAAGCTGGTTATTAGTGATGAATAATAAATAAATGTCTCATTTAGGGAGATAAAAGTTAGGCTTTGAATACATTGTTTATAAGTATTTTGCTAAGCTAAACATGGGCCTTGTGTTGTGAAATTAAGGTTTTGAGAGCATTGCTTTGACCGGTTATTGTTTACATATTTGAAAGTCAGTGCTAGGATAGAAGCAAGCAAGCCTTTTGTATCAAATAATTGTATTTAAGATCAGATATTGTTTCAGGAGAGGGTTTTGGATATGACACATAAATAATTGACACAAACAAGTTAATTCATATTCAGTTATGCATTTATTGATTGAGACCAGACAAGATGGATAATTATTGTAACAAATAATGTCATTGATAAGCATGTGTACATGTATTCCAGTATTGATTGGATGTTTCCTTTATTTGTTTTGTTCAATTACAGATTGAACCGTGCTGATACGTGCTGAAGTATCTTGTCGGCGTGGTCTCATACTGGGTTTAGAACTTTGTGTCAGGCGACGATGGAGACAGGTTCAGTACCTTAGTGACATTTTCTGGCAGAGATGGAGGAAAGAGTATCTTCCTACGCTCCAAGCACGACAAAGGTGGAACGAGCGTGAGCGTGATGTTAGCGTGGGTGACATCGTTCACATCATGGAAGAAGCACCACGAAACCACTGGGCTGTCGGTCGCGTTGTAGAGATTTTCCCAGGCAAGGATGGGCTAGTTAGGTCAGTTAGGGTGCAAACCAAATCATCGACCCTTGTTAGGCCAGTTCACAAGCTGTGTCTTTTGGAATCAGTGAATCATAGATAGGTATATTCTATCCCCAGATAGGTACAAGTTTTACCCCTGTGTTTGTTTCTTAGAGCACTCTATTTGACAGAACTGAACTTCGATAGAGAGACATTTCAAGATGAATAGACATTTTGACAAATGAACAGAGAAATCAAAGTACAGTTTACACCATGGACTGTTATTTGAAAGGACTAATAATTCTGCATAGAGTGGACTCATTTATTACTCTGAAAAAGGACATTTCAAGTATTCAATTGATAAGCATGTGTAAATGTATTCCAGTATTGATTGGATGTTTCCTTTATTTGTTTTGTTCAATTACAGATTGAACCGTGCTGATACGTGCTGAAGTATCTTGTCAGCGTGGTCTCATACTGGGTTTAGAACTTTGTGTCCTGCTTGATTATTTATCGTCACAGTGTCCCCATCTGTGCGTCGTAAGGCATAGCTACAGCAGCTGGGACTCCAAGTCCCACCGAATAAGTGCACACACATTCTGTAGACACATGGTTCTTCCTTCAAGTCACCTGTTGGCCACCATAAGAATCTCAGTACATCTCGGTCTGGTGCTGGCACACGAACTTGATGAAACATCGCTTCGATGTCTGCCATCAAAGCCACTGGCGCAGTTCTAAACCTCAACAGCACTCCGATCAGCTTGTTAGTCAGATCTGGTCCCTGATTAACCACATCATTCAGTGACAAACCTTTCCATGCTGATGCACAATCGAAGACTATTCTCACTTTTCCCGGTTTCTGGGGATGGAATACCGGGTGATGTGGCAAATACCATTCGCATTCCTTCTTACTGTCAAGTTCATTGACCTCCTCTGCATATCCCTTCTTCAAAAGGTCTGCCATGCCATCTGTATACTTCTGAAGGAGACCATCACTCTGACTAAGCCTTTTTCCAAGACTTTGGAGTCTCCTTTCAGCCAACCATCGGTTATTCTGGAGATCTGGAGGTCTCTTCTTGAACGGGATAGGGAGCTGATAATGACCTTCCTCTATGCAGATGCCCTGCTCCCACTCTGCCAAGGCCTTGACATCATTCTTTGACATAGCTCTCTCTTCCTTGAAAGGATCAGGGGTCTCAAGCTTCCAGAACCTCTCTAACTGTCTCTCGAGGCACAGATCTCCTTCGATGAAGGTGTTCGTAGCATACACTGGAGTGTTCATTTCACATGCTCGGCTGAGTGGACCATGGAGTGATCACCCAAGGCACGTCCTTACTGCGTATGGTCCTTTCTCTCCATGTCTAACCTCTAGAGGCATCAGAGCTTCTGGGACGTCTATGACCGATGACCAGTCCCACCTCATCTTCAGTGGCCACAGGGATGTCAATCCCTCTTAGGTGGGTCAGTCCTTCGATGTCATCGACTGTGGCCATGTGTACACCCTTGACGTTGATATTTTCCTTTGTGTACACACATAACATCTTGATCTGCTTGCTGTTATCTCCGGAGTCCACAACCAAACTGACGGCTTCAGTGTGGACAGTACTTTCTTTACGATCAAGGGTCGTTAGTAGAAGCTTCCCTTTGACTCCCTTAGCACCGAGTGACCTTGCTAAACTTGCTGAACAAAATGTACTTGTTGACCCTTGGTCCAGCAATGCATATGTCCACAGCATAACTTGGCAGCCTTCTGCCTTCACCCTCACAGGCACTATAGGGAGCACACTTTTCCTGCCGGCCCCTGTGGAACTACAGGAGGCTTCTTGCTCCACATTTCTATTTTGTGTGCCGCCATCAGGTTCTGTCATATGGAGAAGCTTGTTGTGCTTCCTTGTGCAACCATCTACTGAGCAAGTCCTCTTGCTACTACATGCTCCTATCATATGACCTCGTCTCAGACAGTTAAAACACAGTCCCTTATTCCTTGCTAGCCGCATTCTATCCTTAGGAGGCAAGTCCTTAAACTGCTTACAATCCCACAGCCTATGGTTACCCTTGCACTGGAAACACTCTACATGTAGTTCAACAGGCTTTGCAGTGGAAGATGTAGAGAAGGAGCCCTTTGACTTCCCACCTCGAGAAGGCGTGCTTTGCTCACTCTGACCAGACATCAGCTCTCCATACACCGGGTCATTAACTTCCTGCGCAGCCTCCTGCACAAAGTACATCAGATCCTCAAATCTTGGGATTCTGTCCTGGCGCCGAATCGCTCCAACTCTGCTCAGCCACTTCCCTTTTAAATGGAAAGGCAGTCTCTCCGCCAATGGGAGAAGCACCTTCTGAGGGGAGAGTTCCTGTTCGAATCCCATTGCTTAAAATGACATTAGGCAGACACTCTTGTCATCTGCCAGCTCTCTTAAACCTTTCTTGTCACGAGGGCTAATCTGCTTCCCAGATGTTATCTTCTTCATCCAGGAGTCTGTGATGACAACTGGGTCTCCAAATCTTTCAATCAGAAGTCGCTTTGCTGTTGAATATCCTTGTGATGCGTTCATTAATAAGCAAGGACTCAAACGTCTCTTAGGTTCCCCTCGACAATAGTATAAGAGGCGAGTTAGCTTCGTCCTATCTCCGCACGAACTAGAGTCAATGTTGTCCTCGAAACTCCGCCAGAACTCCCAAAATTCTAGGGGATTTCCGTCATAAGGCGTCAACTCGGCCTTAGGCAGCTGCATCACCTCCCAAAGACGGCGTTGCTCCTGTTGTCCTTCCTTCAGTAGGGTGACTACATCGGAATCATCACTCATGGTCAGCGGTTGTCCATGGTCAGACCTATTTGCTGTGATAGGCTTACACTTCGTAGACTTAGTAGGAACAACAGTCTCTGTCACTACCTTGCCAGGAGTGTAAGGTAAGGTTTCATCCTGTTCTTTCTCAGGAAAGCTTATTCCAAACTTCTTATTCTCAAACTCAAGGTATATCTGTTCTTCTGTTTCTGCAACCCTGAGCTTCGTCTGCATCGATAATCTCAACTTACGCTGCGTTAGTTGAAATTCCTCAAGTTCTAGTTGTTGGCGTTCTTCTATAGCAGCTGCTTCAGCTGCTAGGGCTGCCTTTCTGGCCATAGCTTTCAACATGGCTGACGAAGCAGAGCTAGTATGGCTGACACACTGACTCACCGAGTCTTCAGGATTCACCTCCAACACATTTTCCTGTTTCTTTTCCTGTTTTTCATCTTTCTGTTTGACCTCAGACTGCCCACCAGCAGCTTGAAGTTGATCTGCTGCACTCATCCTGATGAAGCGTTATTGATGTTGGGGACACTGTGACGATAAATAATCAAGCAGGACACAAAGTTCTAAACCCAGTATGAGACCACGCTGACAAGATACTTCAGCACGTATCAGCACGGTTCAATCTGTAATTGAACAACACAAATAAAGGAAACATCCAATCAATACTGGAATACATGTACACATGCTTATCAATGACATTATTTGTTACAATAATTATCCATCTTGTCTGGTCTCAATCAATAAATGCATAACTGAATATGAATTAACTTGTTTGTGTCACTTATTTATGTGTCATATCCAAAACCCTCTCCTGAAACAATATCTGATCTTAAATACAATTATTTGATACAAAAGGCTTGCTTGCTTCTATCCTAGCACTGACTTTCAAATATGTAAACAATAACCGGTCAAAGCAATGCTCTCAAAACCCTAATTTCACAACACAAGGCCCATGTTTAGCTTAGCAAAATACTTATAAACAATGTATTCAAAGCCTAACTTTTATCTCCCTAAATGAGACATTTATTTATTATTCATCACTAATAACCAGCTTGAACATTTATATCAACCTTGTAAGAAATAATATGCTTCAGCTATCATACAGCCTTATCTATCATGGCTCACTTCATAATCTGTCAACTAACAAAAGAGGCGTGACTACTTCCGGTCACTAAACGTGTACAGTGCATGCATGCATTACTTGCACGTATTATGTATACCACTGCTACATTACGTACTTCAATACAAATCTTTCGCAACAAATTTACATCACTAACCATCAACATAATTAATAGAAATTATCACTGATTATCATTCAACAACTCTTTAAAGGAATAGCAATGTAATTGTCTACTTACAACGTTGGGCTCATCAAAAAGAATTAATTTATCATCACAACCTCACGGTCGTCCGACCGTTCCAAACAAGGAAAATCAGTGGCATGCGAAGAAACGCCCTCAATAGTCAAATACATGTCAATTCCCCAAAAAGCCTCGTCTATGACGTCAGCATTTCCCGACCTATCGTTACATGATTTTATCAAACACAGGAGAAAACTTCCTGTCAGTAACAGCGACGGTATATGCCATCACTATCATCCTTTCTTTAATCCCCGACCTCGTCATCTATGTCATTATTATAAAATAAGAAAATTGTTATCACTGTCATCAACATTATCAACATCATCATCATCCTGCCCATCGTCCGCGTCGTCAATATAATTTTTATCACCAATATCGTCATTTACGTCATTATTATATTAAATACAACGTTGCCATAGTACCACTGTCGTCATCATTATCAATGTTTCTATCTTTATTATCATCATCATTATTATCATCATCATCTTCATCATTGTCATCGTCTTCATCATCATCGTCATCTTCATCATTGTCATCGTCTTCATCATCATCGTCATCTTCATCATTGTCATCGTCTTCATCATCATCGTCATCTTCATCATTGTCATCGTCTTCATCATCATCGTCATCTTCATCATTGTCATCGTCTTCATCATCATCGTCATCTTCATCATTGTCATCGTCTTCATCATCATCATCATCATCTTCATCATTGTCATCGTCTTCATCATCATCATCATCTTCATCATTGTCATCGTCTTCATCATCATCATCTTCATCATTGTCATCGTCTTCATCATCATCATCATCTTCATCATTGTCATCGTCTTCATCATCATCATCTTCATCATTGTCATCGTCTTCATCATCATCATCTTCATCATTGTCATCGTCTTCATCATCATCATCTTCATCATTGTCATCGTCTTCATCATCATCATCATCTTCATCATTGTCATCGTCTTCATCATCATCATCATCTTCATCATCGTTATCCACATCATCATCTTCATTATTGTCATCGTCTTCATTATCGCCATCGTCATTCGCCTCCGTTCACATCAGAAGTATAGGTAATTAACTATACTACATCCCTATCATCATCGTCAACATCACCACTGCCATCCACACTTTGTTTTCTTAATTATTTTTATTTTTATAAACGTAACATCAGACCATAAACAATGCATAATGATTGAATAAAGGGTGTAGTCTGTTAGTAAAATCCTTTTTCTATTATGATAATTTAAAACCTCACAGTATTCATGAAGACTTATGTTTTACATACTGGACTTCCGCCATTTGCTTCTAGGCAGTATCTTTCACAGTGTCAACACAACTGTCTTGAATTTGATATGAATTATCGTTATTCATCTTCCTAACATAATTATATGAATACTTATTTCATTCCATATAGTGTTTACATTTCATTTAAAACACAATGTACTCGTTTGACCAGACCTTTACTTAATTTATTTTCTTTTTTTAATCGAGAATGAAATAAATGAGAATTGAATTGAATTGAATTGAATCTTAATGAACTTAAAGAAATATATACACCGAGTAATTGCGTTTTCGTTGAGCTTAGGTTAACGTTGATCCATTTATTTCAATTTTTTGTAAGCTTTAGGAGTTCGGGATTACCCGGTCATGTACAAGAATGCTCCTCTTTGGCTTCTCTAAATTATAATTTGTTTAAAAAAAAAATATATTCATCAACATATTATACAGGAACTGTACTGTTCAATCTTGGCCAACAATATTGTCCATGGGATAACCACAACAAAGTCTCCCCACCATTGACATATAAATCTTATACTTTCTCAACACTATACAAATGTCATTTCTCCTAGAACTTAAGTTACAGAATGAAATAATTATACAGGGATGGTACCCTACCCAAATAGTTGTACATGACTGTATCAAACACAGAATAGACAAACAAGTATTTTCATTTCACCTTGTGAATAAGGCCTACTTTGAAAGACGACGGAGTAATATGTTTACAAGTTCATCACATGATGGTCTCCACCTATACATGTATCAAACATACAGTGGAATGATTTTATAGCTTCATCTTTTTACACGACAGCGAAATTCCATCAAAGCAGCTAATTATTATCAGTTGGAATACTTTTTATTAGTTTTTCCATTAAACATTGCGTCATAGCCATAAACATATTCATGTTTCCAGTTTCAGATTTACTTCCACTCATAAAAAAGATAACAATAATAAAAGCATATACTAGTAAACACAAATTATGAACATATACACATGAATATATTCATTTACTTATACGTATACACAAGCTGATAAGTGAGAAAATGAATTAAGATGAATAGCTAAATTCAGAGTGGAGGAGCCGACAGAGGCCAAAGACATGTCGAGGGCTAGCTTCTTGCAGACTAACCTTACTTAATTCAAAATATCATTCTAAAACATTAATAGGAGTAAAAGAACTAAAATAATTTAAAAATTAAAATGGATAGATAGGAATATGTATAAGTATGACAATTCACAGCATGTGAGTACAGTGAAGTGACATTTATTCCAGGAATTTAGTTAAAAGTACCTTAATTTCCTCTTTAATAAAGACAGATTTTAAAGTTATTCTATATTTTAAAAAAAATAAACAAATGCCTTTCTTTCCAAATGCTACTATCTTGGACCAACCATAACAACGGCTCAATTTCTCTAGATCATGCTATAACATAATTCTCTAATGATATCATCTCAAAGGTCTAATTATGACGTACATATAATCAAATCCAGGTTCTGTAAATGTACATGTAGTCTGGTTCAACGCAAGCTTCTATACAAATTAGAAGTAAAATAGAGAGATAAGCATGACATAATAAAAACATAACATTTTGCTTTAAACATTGCCATTTCCAACGGAAGAATGCGAGCATGTATACTACGAAAGTGTATATCAATATATGGTATCTTGCAATAATATATTTTAAAAGGTGCATAGGCCCATCTATGTTATACATCAAATACAGTTTATTTTGAACTTCATTAATTATATATCTAACTCCATTAACATAAATAATAAGGACATAAGGGGAAATTGAAGACGATATTACGTAATATGAACGTGTTAGGGCACGGCGTTGTGTTTCAGGATGGGACATAAATATCAGTCATGTGAAAACCAAAGAATTTTTTGTAATGGTAGGTTTGTTTTTCACCGTGGTTATTTCCGTTAACCTTATATCATCGAAAATCACAACTTGTGTAATATTAGGGTGATCACACTGCCTGTGCAAATAGTCCGCCCCGCGAACACACACACACAACAGCAGTCAGTTGGTAGAAATAGCAATTTTTGTAAATGTATTAAAAAAAAATATTAAAAAAAAATAAAAAATCACATATATTTCAAGCATACCTTTAACTACAATTCTGTGTAGTTTCATTGTTATAGGCATGTGGAAAATATGTTAATTATTGAATTAGAATATTGTCTTTTTTTAGCCATGTGTGACATGGCCCGGTGATCGCCCATTGACTCGCGCTGCTATTCTGTGTGGTGAAAAAATGCACCTCAATGTATAAAACTCCCCTACAAAAAAGCAATATCCTCATGTGTTTCACTCATTAAATTAATTTGTTATTTACACTCAAGGTAGTCACAACTGTATTGAGGTCACTAAAATTTCTTTTACTCTGAAATTCAGTCCCTGTGGAATATTATGGCCAAGAGGGTTACCATCATGCCCAAAGATTGAATGGTATCTCGGAAAATCATCATAAATCCTCAAATCTGACATCTTTGAAAAAGAAAGATATACTGTGATGTAGCTGAAAGTCTACAAATTCTTATCATATGATCGGTTTTTCTGAATTATTTGTGAAACACATGAGGAAATAGCTGTGACGGTGATCCAAGTAATTTCCATCGCCATATTGTATTGGCATTGCAAAAATATTAGGAATTTAAGGTCAATATTTGGTGTAAATATGATCTATGAATATATGATTTTTTTTAAATATTTAAATTTTTTTTTTTTCCCCTTCCACAGGGTTCTTTATTTTCAAAACAAATTTCATCATATACAGAACATCCATATATCATATACAAATAATTAAAAAAATAATTTCCATACATAAGGGTTTGACACAGATAATAA